ATATTTTACTGGACTGATTCCCAAATTTGCATTCACTGGATCAAGGGATCTGCCAACGAGTGGAAACAATTTGTTAGAAATCGTGTGGTAGAAATCAAGGAGAAAACAATTTTAAACAACTGGTACTTTTGCAGTGGGAAGACAAACCCTGCTGATAAACTTACGAGGGGGATGGATGCTGAAGCTCTAATTAATGATAGTGATTGGTTTTCTGGGCCACCCTGGCTTTCAGAAGTAGATATTCGACATCACATAAACGAAATGAATACCGAAGCTGACTTGCAAAACGTTAGTGAAGAACGTAAATGTGTTACTTTGAAAACACTTGTGGAATCTACAGAACCATTACTAAATCTTGAACTGTACGGAAATTTAACCAAAGTACTGGGAATAATGCCTTATGTTCTGCGCTTCGTGAACAACTGTAAATCCGCTCGTGAAAAGCAATCTGGTGTGCTTACCGCCTATGAGTTACGGAAGGCTTCAGAATTTATTATAAGAAATGTTCAACTTAATGAATTTTCAGAATGAAATTAAGGCTTTAAAGACAGAACAACCGATTAAAACTAAAAGCAAAATCATTTAACTTAATCCATTTCTAGATGAAAACGAAATTTTAAGAGTAGGAGGTAGATTAAGAAACGCAGAAATTACCAGAGAAAGTAAACATCCCATTATATTGCCAAATAATAATCACTTCACAAAATTAATACAGCATTATCGCGAAAAAATTTACACGGAGGGTTGCATTTAATGTTATCCGCAATAAGACAGAAATACTGGATAATAAGTGCAAAGAATGAAATTAAAAAATGCATTTGGAAATGCATAAAATGTTGCAGAGTACGAGCAGTAACATCTATTCAATTAATAGGAGAACTACCTGCAAGTAGAGTGATTCCAAGTAGAAACCTTTTCAAAGGTTGGCGTTGATTATGCCGGCCCATTTTCTGTGAAAATGAAAAGGGGAAGAGGTATAAGACCAATTAAATGTTATATCTGTATTTTCGTTTGTTTAGCTACAAAGGCTATCCATTTAGAGATTGCTAGCGACTTATCAAGTGAAGCATTCCTAGCTGCTCTAAAACGATTTGCTTCGAGGAGAGAGGAAAACCTCAAGAAATAAGAAGTGATTGTGGAAACTAATTTTATAGGTTCAAATAAAATCCTCAAGGAAGCAGTTTCATCTGTCCAGTCAACCTCAGAATTTCAAAGGTGGTTAGCAAATGAAAACATAAGGTGGATATTCAACCCGCCAGCTGCTCCACATCATGGTGGGTATATGGGAGGCAGCTGTTAGATCTATGAAGCTGCATCTAAAGAAATGTGTTGGAACTCAAATTTTGACTTATGAAGAGTTTCTAACTCTAATTGCACAAATTGAAGCATGCTTAAATTCGAGGCCAATAACACCGGTCTCCAGTGATCCCAATGATTTGACAGCTTTGACTCCTGGACACTTTATTATAGGGACTTCTTTAACAGCTGTTCCGGAACAAGATTTAACCGAAGTACGAGTGTCTCCATTGCAAAGATGGCAACTAACACAGCAGATGTTCCAAGGATTTGGAAGCGGTGGTCTAAAGAGTACCTGTGCCAACTACAGCAGCGTAGCAAATGGAGACAGCCTAGCAGAAATATTCGTCTAAATGACTTGGTTCTCATTAAAGAAGATAATATGCCTTCATTACGTTGGAAACTCGGGCGAGTAATAGAAGTGTTTCCTGGAAGAGACAATAATGTCCGAGTGGTTAGACTAAAAACTGTGCACGGGGACATTAAACGTCCTATTACCAAACTGTGTCCTTTTACCAGTTGAAGAACATTAACTTAAGTGTTTGGTTTATATTGAATATGTTTTTTATTATTTTTTTATTTCTTATTGTACTAATAATTTTATTTGTTTGTTTTAGTTTAACCCTCATAGTTAACGTTTCAATATAGTAAAGATATAAGATGTTTTGCTAGAAGATTGGTAAGTGTAACATGTAATTTTATACTTTTTGAAGGTTTTTGTATGTTTTCAGTCAGTTTCTATATTTTTCATTTACTTGTTTGCATATATTGAAGATTGTATTAAGATGAATGTAATTCATCGGGGGGGGGAGGAGGATGTTTTGGCCTCCTCGGTGATTGCGGTGATTTGTGCCCAGAGGGCGCACCGCACAAAAAGTTAGTTGCGTTAACAGAACGTAAGGGAAGCGGACACGCCAAAATGTCGGGCGTATTACCGCTAATTGAGGTAATTGCATCGTATCTGTCAGGTGGCAGAAAACTAGTATGATGTATCAATTCACATGCCAGGTGGCAGAATATGTCTATCATGTACATGCCAGGAGGCATAATGCTTGTAAATATGCCAGGTGGCATACAACTTGTAAATAAATTGTAAATAAGTGTACAGTAAAATATCTTGGTGCAATAGATCAAGGAACAAGCATCAACAACCTTCTGATCATTTGGATACATACACAGAGGGTTAAGAATACACATGTGTGTAGGCGGTGCCAGCAAAAAAAAAACAGGTTTATAAGCGCATAGAGGGCAAGACAAACTGCGTTCGCTAGCACATCTTGGGGAATTTCTTGGTGTTATCTTGCAACAATCGGTTAAACTCACATCAGAACAGTAAAAATGAGTAACCACCAACGTTTAGATGATGGAATGAAGTGGCGAATTCTGTGGAGGCTAGAGGGTGACCAATCTAAAGTCCAAATATGCAGAGAGTTTAACACCCAGCGTCGTGTGTAATCTAATGAAAGAGTTTCAGGATATTGGATCCATCGAGAGAAAGCCTGGGCAAGGTATTCCAAGAGCCACGACGGCCAGAGAAGATTGCTATTTGTCCATTTTAGCAAGATGTAAGAGAGGGACTGCAGCTTCTCAGCTCTCTCGGAAACTGTATGCAGCCCTAGGAACACATGTAACAAGGGTGACCGTTTCCAAAAGACTGAATGAGAGAGGGTTGTTTGTCAGAAGACCGGCTGTTTGCGCCCTGCTCACGTCTACGGACAGGAGAGTCTGATTAGCACGGTGCAGGCAGCATAGTGATTGGAGTAAGGAGCAATGGGCAACCATTCTGTTCACTGACGAGTCCCATTTTAGCCTAAACATCGATTCTCGCTGTACGTTCATATGGAGAGAGCCAGGAACCCGCTACCTACACTCCAATGTCCGCAAAATCAACAATTATGGCGGTGGCGGTGTAATGATCTGGGCAGGCATCAAGTTGGATGGCCGCACACCTCTCCAAGTCTTTGACAGAGGCTCTGTGACCAGAGTGAGGTATAGGGATCAGGACTTGGAGCCCTATGTTCGCCTTTTCCGGGGTGCAGTGGGCCACGAGTTAATCTTACAGGACGATAACGCAGGGCCACATAGAGCTCTTCTGGTCGTTGAATTTCTCAAGAGTGAGGATATTCGCTGGATGGATTGGCCAGCCAGGTCTCCAGACTTCACACCTATAGAGCATGTCTGGAATGCTCTGGGGAGGACAACTGCAATTCGCAACCCCCTCCGAGAACCATCCAGGAACTGAAAACAGAGTTGCTGAATGAGTGAAACCAATTGCCATAGGCACTGATAAACTGCCTTATTTCCAGTATGACATCACGTTGCAAGGCCTGTATGGCTGTAAGAGGGGACCATACCCCCAATTAACCCATTTCTTTTGTGTCTACTGCAACTGCTGTTTCAGACCTTTAGACTCCCATGAGTGTTCCACACGGACATGTGTGTCTATTATAAATGCTGAACATTTATTTTGTTTGTATTATATCAACTTATGTTTACACCAAATTTTATTAAAATTTGTCCAGTAGTTCTAGAGATCATAGATCAAATATGAAAATTCCCTTAATTTCTTTCACCAGAAAGAAATTAAGGGAATTTTCTTTTTTATATGAACTATTATATCAATACGAAATAATTCAAGGAGGTACTTAAGACGTAATGAAATAACGAAACATTTTCCTTCGATTATTCCATATAGCTAAAAATCGGAAAATGGCCAATTTTTTATACATATGCATCGGCATCACGTATTTTCATTCACATACATTTACAAGATCAGCTCAACTTATGTCAAAAACTGCAAAAAGCATTAATTGATAAGTATCAAAGCGATATAAATAGTATAGATCTTATGCATGAACTGCAGTTTTTGCAAACTTTTGGAGGAAATGTAGCGTCGCTGGTTGAAACACTATGCAATATCGTTGTCAACAACGTAGCGGTGTGTAGAAAAGAATTTTAGATATATCCCTAAATATCAGAATTGAGAGAATTATGTAAAATACTTGCTTTGTCTAGAGGTATATACAGATATGATTGGTAAGCAATATAGTTTTAATTGAGAGAATAAATTGTAACTGCATGGCTTGCAGTAAAGAGATGTCTGACAATGATTTCGGCTGACAATTTGGCTTTCCATCAGAAAGCCGGTCCTTGAGTAAGAATATTGCTGGGTCCAGGTTAGTAAGTCAGTTTTGACTTAAAGTTGTCCAATCCAAGTATGTAGTAGTCTTATGTAGAAAGATTGGTATTGTAGCCAGTTGAATTTTATCTTTTATCATTTGCTGAAAAGTCAAAGAGACTTATTTTGTTCTTTATTATTTTAATTTGATGCAAAATATAGGTAAGGTTTTACGTTCTTGTGTGATTGTGCTTTACCATCAGTTCAAACTCTAAGTTATATAACTTGCACCATAGCTTTATGGTAACTTTGAGGGGCAAGTGTTTAATACAGATATTTAGTAAAACCCATCAAGCTTTATACTAGTGCTCAACATATACGATGATTAAATTTGAGAATTAGTAGGAGTTAAAATTGGTGCACCTAGTCATGTGAATACACGAACAATGGCCTTGCTCTAAACCAAAAGTTAACAATGATAAAGATTTCATAAACTCAAGGTCATTTATAAGGTATACATTTTGTGCTATTTAAATTTTTAATAATACAGGCAAATAGTATAATACTAAGCACACTGCAAGAATACCTTAGCATCTGTAGTTACATCCAACAGCTCATATGAAGGACCAACTAAAGAATTTAAAATCTTGAGTTTTTCTTGCTCCCATTCACTTTCTAATGTCTCCCAGAAAACATTATCAGCTTTTTCAAAAGTCTGAAACATAAGATTTTTAAATATAGGATTTCATTAAATAATTCTAAAAAAATATAGAAGAGCCTATTATTTAGAAGACAGACAATAACAATTGAGATATAGTAATACAAGTGTCTATAAGGAGGCAATATCAGGAAAGGAAAGAATATAAATGCATCTTACAAGATTTGAAAAGATTTTTAGTTTAGCTAATCAATCAACATTTTATATTGCTCTGTATTTCTTATTCTTGGTTTTTTGGAATCTCATCATTCCTGGAATACGTAAAGGGTATTTTTACACGACTGTTTAATTAATACAATTAATAAAATTATGTTAGGAATCTGACTTTAGATAAAAGCAGACAAATGAGTTGTCAAAAGTTTTGGCAAGTTTATTTAGAAATGGAAAAATCCCTCTCTCAGTTTTTAAATTATGAAGCTTATCAGCCAGCACATAATACTTGATCTTGCTGCAAGCCAGAAAAAATTAATTACAGTCAAAAGTCGTTAATCCGGACTCGTCGGGAATTCGGCGATTCCGGATTATAGATCATCAGTTTAAATATGGTAAGATGGCATGCAGAAATTACAAAATTAAAAATATGAAACCGTACTTCATGAAATAAAGAACAATTATGATCTAAAGGGTATCAAAAGTTACAAAAAGAAAAAGCTTAATATTTATTTGTTTACTTTATTAAACATTTCTTTCAATGTAAGTTGTTTAAGTTGCTTCATTTCATGTGATAATACTTTCTGTTTAATTCTATTAAACAGACATAATTTCTTGTTTAGTTACAAAGTTCTGCTGTTCAAGTCTTATAATTGCTGTGTCGAGAATACCGACTAATTTGTCAATCGAAATTTTTTCGTTTTCAATAACCTCTGTGTCACTTTCTTCACTATTGGAAGTGAATTATAATGATGAGGAACTTGATTTAAATCATATCAAAGACGGAGTACATTGAGATGAAATACTACATTTAGTAAGGAATTATAAGCCAAATAAAATAAAAACATCTGCCCTGAAGATAAGGATAGTGCTGACAGATGAACTTCCAATTCATTGCGCGCCGCGGCGTTTTAAAGAGAAATTGGCTGTTGATTATATTTAAAAAAAAAAAAAAGAGAGAGAGAGAGAGAGAAAGGGGACATTTTACTTACAGATTTTTTTGACTTCTCAATAACAGACAGCATGGCATTTTCTCTCTCATTTTTCAAGAAGCCCTGGAGAGGGGGAAAAAAAAAGTTTAACTCGATCAGTTCTGTGCAGTTTTATATAAAAATTTATATCATAACATAAATTACTTTTGATTTAAAGGAAGCATAAATTTTATTTGATTCACATTATTTAAATAGATTAAAAGAGGAGCACATAAAAATTATTTAAAAAAGGATTTAAATGCTTTAACATTGATTCTGCATGAATTTATCCTCTCTCTCTGCTTCAGGAAAAAAGAAAAAATAAAGTTAAGATTTTTAAATTTTGAAAGCTTTGGGTCAAACTAGATTCGAATTAGAGGTGGGCCTTGACTTTTGCACAATTTGCTATTTCATAAACTTTTGCACAATTTGCTACTTTAAAAAAAACTATATTTTTTAAAGACTTTTGCCAATAATGAAAATTTTTTCTTATGTGTTAACTATTTTCGGCTCACTTGTTCCAACTGTTTTTTCCCCTTGCTCTTGTCAGAAAAAGGCATTCTTGCCCATGATAAGGGTAGAGGTGATGTAACATACATCACAGGCACACATCATTTCCTACAGAAGCAGACTTCTAAGAATACAAATCAGTATTGCATTGTCCCAAGCAAGAGGTGAAAGCAGTTTAAGTCTTGCATAAGGGCATGCGTCAATGTGTTGTGTGGTTTGCCAAATTTATTTGTTTATGTTTAAATATTTTGTTCTTATAAATTGATAAACATGAGTGAGAAATTGAAAAATTGCAATGTTAATACGAACAAAAAGGAAGTTAAATCTTTATGTCTAATTTTGTCTTCAAATGATCAAGACAAAGACAGGAATAATTACATGTTCTGAAAATGGTGAATCTTTTGCTTCAGTTGAATGTTTGTACCATGTAAACAGATCTACAGTATGCTCAGTTGAAAACTAAGATTAAAATTAAGGAATGCATTCAAAATTTTGGAAATGTATCTTCAAATATTGTTTCCAAAAGAAACTGTATGAAACCGAAAGATCTTTGTCATCGTATGTACAAGTTCTTAGTTTTCAACCTAAGGTTCTTAGTTTTCACGAAGATTAGAAGACTAGGTTTAAATGCATATTCAAAAAAGGTGTTTCAAGCAAGTAATGGCTGGTTTGATAAATTTAAAATGAGATATTCTTTACATAATATTAAATTCAGTGGAGAATCGATTGATGGAGACATAGATACTCTGAAAGAATTTATTTCCTCAATGTCCAGAATTATTGTAGATGCAAGAATATTCTCCTAGTCATATATATAGTTAATGTAGTTAGATGGGTTTATTCTGGGGGAAAAAAAATCTAATCATACAACAATATATGCATACAACTGAGAATGAAATGTTAGTTCCATAATGTTGAATCACATCAGCTTAACACTGTAATCTGGGAATAACCTCCGATGTTGAAAATTAGAACAATTGGAATGAACACAGATATTTTATCAACTGCAGTACGAGTCCGAGGCATTTCTCATATGTTAGTTTTCGATTTATAGTTTACTTTTATACATTTCAATAAGTACTACACATTTTAAATAAAAGAAACCACTGCATAAAACAAGATAAAAAAACTGAAAGAGCTTTTATGAATATCAGATATTAATTATATATTTATTTAGATCGAGAAAATGAAAAAAAAAAAAAAAAAAGAGAGATCAGAAAAATGTAAACCTGTATGTCAGTTTCCCGAATAGGCTCAATGGGTTCAAAGGTTCTTGCAGTGCTCAAGGATTCTAACTTCTGTGAAATTTTAGGCAAATCATAACCTTTACTTCCCAACAGTATTGATCTAAATACATAGAAATATATAACAGATGTTATGTATATATAAATAAAAACAAGACACAGTTCATATAAAAAACACACATATGCCATTGCTACTAAATTATACTGAAACTCAATGGTTTGGTAGAAGGCTAAATTATTTAACCATACTGATTTCAATATAATTTGGCTTAAATAATTTCAATTCTTGATAACTTTTTCTCAGTTATACAATCGCTTATGTCTCCACAAATATCTATTCTTAACAGATTCAAGTGCAATTCAAATACAACTTGACAAGACAAATACAGACAAAAAAATTATTATATACAGAGAAGTGTATCGCATTGAATTTGCTGGGAAAACTAACACTAATTTTTTAGAAAAGCTCTATGCTTTTTGATGGAAACTTTCTAGAGATCCAACAATCACAGATTTGGTTAAAAGTTATTATTTTTTCTTCTACTAAAACTTATGATTCCATCATTAAAGGTATTACTTCAGATTTTGATTTTTCAGAATTTATCACGTTCCTTTGCCATGAGATTTAACATATATAAGACTCTGAAACTCCATATTAAAACACATAACATAAATTTTATGTTATTTTACCCCTAATCAATACTTCTTTCTACCTGTATGATAAGAACTCACAATGTAGTCTGTCATTAGAAGCGACTAAAACAGATACCCAGTGTCTGTTGATATAGCTGGGCACTCGTTTCCTGGGACTTATAAATAAAGAGGCCTGGCCCACCATGTTCGGAGTTGAATATAGTGTTAACACCCCTACCTTGTAAAAAACTTGTTACAAAATCCAGTGAAGAAAAATCCTGGATGGCATTATAGAAGCAACCTGGTAAATGATATAAGGATATGAGAATTGGTAGTTGAAATGTTCTATCTCTGTACAGAACCAAGGCATTTGCTGCTGTAATAGTTGGACAAATATAAAATTGGTATTATTACCATTCAAGAAGTTATATGGATTGGCAATGAAATTTTAAATAAAAGGAATCATACTGTTTTTTACATTTGTCACCCTAAGAAACATACTGACAGCACAGTATTATTTTATTAGTAATTATAAGTTTTTAAGGTATAAGGTTTTATTGTAAGCAAAACAATATATCAGATTTTGGAGGTCTTCCCGAGACTGTAAAATTAAATATCAGGGAAAATTCTTTAATTTTTAGTATTATATGTGCTTACACCCCTAGTGAAGATAAGGCTGATGAAAAAAGGAAACTTTTTATGAAAAAAGGAAACTGCCCAAGATATAATGCAATGGTCATTTCTTAATGATAAAGTGGGTAGAGAAACGGAATTTAAATTTGTAACAAGAAGATTTAATCTATATGATACAGCAAATGTTATTGGACATAAATAGATTTTGCCACTTCACATAGTATGATTATAGAAAGCACATTTTTCCCCCATACTAATATTCATAAGGCAACTTTGCATGCCCCATGTGACACTTATGCCAATCAAATTGATCATATCTCAATTGATGCCAGGCATTATTCAGAGTCGAAGGATGCCAGAGCTTATCGTGGGGCTAATGTGAATTCTGACAATATCGATTTCTTTATAATAACCAAAGTCAGATCAAGAATCTCTAATAAAAAGAAGTTTAGAGGTGTGACCTGAAGAGAATTTGACCGTGATGATCTCAGGAATGATAAGATTAGACTTGAAAAAATAGAAAAACAGTTGAATTTGATGAGTTGTGATGGTACAGTAAAACATAAATGGAAATTTATTAAAGATAATATTGGTACTGCTAACCAATTCTGTGATAGGTAGAATTGCTATGAAGCAAGTTAAAGACTGGTTTGATAATGATTGTGCCTTAGCTAATAACAAAAATAATTATGTGTATAATCATATTATACAAACACATATAAGAAATAAAGCAGAAGGAGCATCATAAATGCCTCTTACAAGAAAAGAACTTATTTAGAAGAAAGAAAGAAAAGAGTTTTTGAAGAGGATTTATTTAGAGAAGCTGAGCATCTGAAATCAGTTAATAATTGCAGGGTTTATTGTAAAATAAAGAGCAGTTGATTGGACTTTAAACAAACAACTAATCTCTGTAAAAACAAATTTGGTGAAATTTTTGCTCGCAAACAAGATATTTTAAAATGACGACATGAACATTTTAATCAAATTTTTAATGATAATCCTCCTGATGGGTTTAAATCCAGCAATAATATATATAGAAGCTGGAGCACCAACTATGGAAGAGATTAAGGCTGCCATCAAGAATTTAAAATTTAAGAAATTTTCAGAGCATAATATCTTATTTTAGCAGAAAGAACTGTGAAAATACCTTTTTGAAGAATTTATTGGAATTAATTACCGACATTTGGAACTTTGAGATTATGCCAACTGGTTGTAATATTACTATTTTGTGTCCAAACCACAAGAGAGACCTGATGATTTGCATTGATTATCACAGCATTAGTTTGCTTTACATTAGTTATGAAATTTTATAAAAAATTTTGTTTTTGAGACTATTGCTGTATGCTGATTCAGTGATTGAAAATTATCAACATGGATTTAGTGCTGGAAGATCAACTAAGGACCAAATATTTTGTCTGCACCAATTTATTGAAAAAACAATGGAATTTAATACTGAGACACATCAATTTATTGAAAAAACAATGGAATTTAATACTGAGACACATCATCTCTTTATAGATTTTAATGCTGCTTTCTCTTTGAGACTTTGAATGTGGTATTCCTTCTAAACTTATAATTACTTATTAAATTGATTATGCTGAAATATATTAAGATAAAAGTTTTGGGGTCTCAATCAGAAAATCTTGACATATTTGGAGAAGTACGACAGGGAGATTCTCTCGTTTACTTTTTAAATAGCACTTGAGAGTGTTATTTGGGATTCAAACATCACTAGCAGTGAATATATTTTTTCTAAATCCGAATAGCCACTTGCATCTGCTGATAATGTTGATATTACCAGGACTCTTTCTTCTCTGAGAGATGCTTTCCTTGGCCTTAAGTTGGCAGCAAGTCAAGTGTGCTTAATTAGAAATGAGGAGAGAATAAAGTTTAAAAAAAGGGGGGGGTAATCTCAGCTCTCTGTCTTGAACTAGACTCCCATAAATTTGAATCTGTAAAAGGTTTTGTCTATTTGGAATCTATTATTAATACTGATAACAGATTATCTCCTGAAATCCAGAATTGGCTTTAGGTGGCTGTGGTGATGGCGATAAGCAGCGAACCTTGCGCCCTCCGATAAATGTGGCAAACTTAGAGGAGAAATTTCTTACGAGTAGCGAGCACAGTGAAACAGGCCGGCTGTCAGTGAGTATGCACGAAGTTCCGAAATAAAGCTTAATTTTTATTGTGCACTATATCTAGTTAATATTTATATTAATGCAGTAAGAACATAATCTGTGATATGGAATTTGAGAATTGGTGGTAATACATATAGGTAACAACATGATAGGAACCACCATAATGGTGACCCGGACATGATTAAATCAGGTCGTATGAACAGTTCTCAAGCACTTTCGGTTTTGAATACAAGCCATCACTCAAGATCTACAAACCAGGAGTAATGGATTACACCGGTTTTCATCCTCCGAATCACAGATGAGTAGTAATTATAGATCATTTTATAATTATGTTTTCTACTTATCATTTAATTTCATTTTCTTTAGTTAAATTTTTGCATTTATTTTGGCTTAAAAACCTTGCACAATGTTTGATGTTCATGCCATCCAAATTCCGGTTTATAACCGACCAGACCCATCTTTATGGTTTATTATGTGTGAAAGTACGTTTGCTCTTGCCACCCCCAAACGTATCACAGGTTCCATTACTAAATATAATTATGTAGTTGCTCATCTTCCTCCAGATATTGCATCACTAGTACGGGATTTACTTATGAAACCAGACCCTATTGATCCATATACAAAGCTCAAAACTGAGTTAATAAATCGATCAGGAGAAACTTCTCAGCAAGAAATTCGCCAATTATTATCTGGAGAGGAATTAGGTTCTCGAAAACCTTCAGATTTGCTTAGAAATACGAAACGTTGAGCAGAATCTTTGAATGTTCCTGATAACTTAATGTTAGAATTATTCCTGTTCAGTCTATTTTGGCAGCGATTTCCCATTTAACTGCAGATAAAGCTGCAGAAATTGCCAACAGAATTTTAGAAATAAATCTAACTCCAGGGACTCGTGCCGTTTCGATCGTGTGCACAGTCGATCAATCTTTTGAGGATAAATTATTTAAACAAATAGAAAAATTAAACAAACGTATTGATCGCATTTCTCTTTCTCGTGGTCGCTCGGCAAATTGCGGAGATCGCAATAACGAAAGAGGCAATTCCAAAAGGAGAGATTATTCTGTTTGCTGGTATCATAGACATTTTGGGAAAAGTGTAGAGAAGGCAAATGTACAAAACCTTGTTCATGGCAGGGAAACGAAACCAGCAAAGAATAGAGGCGACTTATTCTTTGCCTCAAGTTTCACGTTGCCTGTTCGTTCGTGACCGTAGAACAAACCTTTCATTCTTGGTCGATACCGGCTCTAACGTGTCTTTACTTCCAGCAAATAATTCTTGAAAACGGAATTCTCCCCAACAAACACTTTTCGCTGCTAATTCTTTCAATATTCATGTTTATGGTCAAAAAACACTTTCTTTCAAAATAAGACGACAGTTTACATGGACTTTTCTTACAGCAAATGTTAGTACATCCATTCCTGGAGCAGATTTTCTCCATTTCTTTGAATTGGTGTTTGATCTCAGAAACAAATGTCCCAAAGATTTAAAAATGCAGTTTAAAACTGTCGGCTGCATGAAAAATGCAGGCATTTATTCAGTAAAAACTGTGTTTAGTGATACACCATATCACAAAATTTTAAAAGAATTTCTTTCAATTACTAAATTACCAGATCCTAACCAACCTGTTAAACACAACACCATTCATTATATCATAACTAAAGGTCCACCTGTGGTTGCAAAACCTCGTCGGTTAGCTCCA